GACAAGTTCAAACAATTTCGCACCTGGCCGATATCAAGTCAAGGAGTGGTGCATACAACCCAAACTTCCTCCTTCGCCATTTTTATATCAATGAAAAATCGAAGCTATTGCAGGTTTTGAAAAATATTTTCTTGGACATATCAAATAAACGAGGCCGGGACATTTCGCCGAATGCCCACAACGCCGACACGATTTTTTGAAGGTCCATATCGCCGACTAGGGACACTACGCCGACGGACACTACGCCGACCGTGCCCACATCGTCGACAAGTGTGCAAGGGACACAACGCCGACCATGCCCACTTCGCCGACGGACACTACATACATATAGAGGTAAATGAAGTCGCACTAAAATTGACCAAGGAATCAAAATATATGTATAATACTATAATGGGGGTTCTATTTAAAAAATGCAACGTTGATATAAAAATCAGCCTGTATCACAATTGATATTGCAGTGCAAATATTTGTAAGTTGTAGCCTTTAAGAGTCCTGCAACTTCAACATGCCCCGACAATGAACCACGCACTAATGACCTACCCTGCAATCTGGTATAGCTATATAGATATTCATGTGAATATGGACACCTTCTTCGGCATTTTTGATATACTAAAGGGGGGGAATTCAGAATATCACCCTCATAGTCCAGGATCCTAATCCATCTATGCCCGTAACTAACATAAGCGCCAGTGTCTTTTTATTTTACATATTCTTAAGGTATTTGATGTCATTAAACTTACCATCATTTGTTATCAATTTAATAAAAGGAGAGAAGAGTTTTCTATTATTAAATATATAAGTAGTCCAGTCAAATTAGCACAATTTTGGACAAATAAAAACATTAATTGGTAAAGATCTGAATTTTGGTATACACATTTATTGGGACTTTCTATTGAACATACTAAAAGTCCCTGTCAAAATCTGTTGCGCTCGAGACGCCATCTTGGAAAAACGGTACACTTTTCCAGTTTTTTGCCCATGTCTCGGCAATTATTACTGACACGAAGAAATAGTTTACATGAAAAATATAGTTTACTAAATTCCCTATAAAAAAGAGTATTTACATTTTTTTTGTATCTCCAATACTTTAGCTGTAATCTCATGTTGAATACGTCAGAACGCGTTTAAGCCCCGTATCGTAGTTATAGAAGGAGGCCGTCTTTTTTATGACTACACCGATAGCTGTAACAGAGCCAAAAAATGAACAGAATTGTCGTGCGATAAAGCATTCTAGCAATGACATAATGTTTGATGATATATCATGTTTTTTTCAAAAAGGTAAGCGAAAATGTGTAAAAGTGTTGGAGCAACGATGTGATTTCTGAAGCGAAGAACGCCCTTATCTGCATAAGTATAACGTGCCTGCTAGTGAGAGATATTAAAACCGACATCGTTATCAGACCTTCAGAATTACCTTGACCCTGTTCGGACTGCACTGAAGGCTCCCAGTCCACACTCAGTGCTCACATTGAAGATGAAAGTTCTATTGAGAGAGAGTTTTATGAGAAACCTTTAAACGTGTCTCATACCAAGCTTGAGTGCGACGACTTCGCATATATACGAAATACTGGTAGAATTTTCAATGAATTTAATGATTTGTAAAAAGCTGTAAAAAAATATCTGCGCGACTGTTTCGAGAGCTCAGGATACTTGATTCCCTATTCGATGTCGGATTATAGCTAAAGTATTGGACATACAAAAAAATGTTAATACGCTTTTTTGTGGGCAATTTAATAAACTATATTTTTTATCTGAACTATTTTTCCGTATCGATAATTGTTGCCGATATATAGGCAAGAAACTGAAAAAGTGCTCCTTTTTTCCAGGATGGCGCCTCGAGCGCAACAGATTTTGACGGGGACTTTTAGTATGTCCAATAGGGAACACTAATGAAAATGTGTACCAAAATTCAGATCTTTACCGATTAATGTTTTTATTTTTTCTTATTTGACTGGACTAAAGTTAGGTTTATTGTTGTTTCCGTGGTTGTGTTTCCCAGGAACCTTTTGGTATTATGCGAACTGTATTTTCTAAGAACAAGTTGCCAAAAGCTCTACTATACATGGGTATTTCCAGCGCAACTTACTCACATATAACCAGGCGGGTAGACTACTTTTAAACTCAATACGATACACATGTATCAATTCTCATAGCTATCGAGCAATCGAGTTTCGTTTTTTTCCCAAGAAAATTGGGGTACCTATCGTATAAATGAGATCGATAATCGACTTAAGGCAAGAAAAGTGATGGATGTCAAATTTAATTTTCGGTAGTTGCACATTTAGAACCCATAACTGCCATAAGCTTTCATATACTTATCCAATATTCGAAGTCGATACGAGATCTTCTTCCCAAAAAAATCGATAATATAAGTTAACGAATTACACTTTTTGTCCAAAAATACTTTGGTTACCAAAAATGCACATGTACGATTGCTTGAGAACCGACATTCGATCTTTTTCCCCGTCCGTTTCCCAAGAAAATTTGTCCCTATCCCTAATTAACCATTTTCACCGATTTAGAGCAACATAACACTATAAATGAGAAAGTAAATTTTTGGTAGTGAACACCTGGAACCCATAAGCTCTCATATAGCGAAAACCCGAAGTCGATATGAGGTCTAGAAACTGAGCTATAGCACGGAACGACAGACAGACGAGCGGAAATGTGACGATATGCGCTCTAATTTCGTGGGTTGTGCTAAAAACGAATTCCCTCAGCGGGTAGTGTCTGCGCGAGAAACAGCAAATTATTAACATTTTGCCCGCCCGCTCTGTAGATTTATGTGTCCGCTCTTAGTAACTAATATGGCTACGGCCCTGATATTATAGTACTTAGGTAATCTAAATGCTGTCTTATACCGTTGAGTGAAGGATTAGGATTACTCAATGCTTATACTTATACTATCTTTATATCCTATGAGTATGACCTACTGGCTACTACCAGCTCAGCTTTTATACTGAATAATCGCGTTCCTTGTTGCAATTAACGCTTATACCCACTGACACCTGCATACCTCATCGTCATGTTGGTAGCTAGTAAGGTACTACCCACAAATTTTCCGACTCTCCTCCGTTCTTCGCTTATATTATAACTCCTAAACAACGCATCCTAGCGAAAACCTTTATACTCGGAAAGAAACTAAAGAGCTTTAAATTCTGCGTTGATAAACCTCTACTCCCCTCACCCCAACTTTCAAACTAGACCAATTTTTTGTCGTCTGTAGATAGCGTCCAAAGTATTGGTCTTCTCTAAACAGTCCTTCCCGCTTCCTATATAACCTCGAGCTCTGCCCTTCTCTGTTGAAGTTTTTGGTTCGAAGTATTAATGTGATGACGGTTGACTCTGTGCCATGTCACTAACATGAATAAGGACAATCTTGTTTCATTTGTGAAAGACCTTTGTAGAGAACCTATACAGTAAAGGAACGGGATAGTCCGACGTTCCCCGGGAAAATTCGTGCATTTGCAAATTCTCTCCCTCTACGCCATAGATGCGACACTGGGCCGTATGAATAAAAGTAAGCAAATGCTTATACTTGCAAAATTCAAAGTAAATACTCGTAACTGCCCCTTCATACTGGTCTGTTTAGCAGGGCCGCACTGCGTCCTGTCCTTCTGCTTAGAAGCGCTGCTAAGTCGCCCAGTGCGAAGGAGCACTTATGTATAAAAAATCACATAAGCCGCAGTGTAATTGTCACTTTGACAGCGGCAAAAGTTACCTGCAACTTTTCCAGCGACAAATGCACTAGTGGTTTTTTCACTTATTCATTTTCGCACCAATTATCGCATTATCCTTTCCCATATGACTAGTTTGACGTCTGTCAATAATTGACTAGTTTGGTGAATTTCTTGTTCGTTAAATTGTCCTGCCGAATTACACTCGAGGTTTGCATTTAAACCGAGTAAATTTGGGTTGCTGCAATTCAAATCTGTTTCCTTTTAGCAATTGAACTCGAAAAACTGTCAACCTAAAAATGCTCCACCTTCGGTGTCGCATTTTTATTAGTTGACAGTTTTTCTCGTCTAATTGCTAGGCAACAAATTTTCATTACCTTAACAACCCAAATTTACTCGGTAAAATACAAACCTCTTGTGCAATTATAAGTGACAATTCAACTCATGTATAAAAAATCGCATAAGCCGCAGTGAAATTGTCACTTTGACAGCGGCAAAAGTTACCTGCAACTTTTCCAGCGACAAATGCACTAGTGGTTTTTTCACTTATTCATTTTCGAACCAATTATCGCATTATCCTTACCCATATGACTAGTTTGACGTCTGTCAATAATTGACTAGTTTGGTGAATTTCTTGTTCGTTAAATTGTCCTGCCGAATTACACTCGAGGTTTGTATTTAAACCGAGTAAATTTGGGTTGTGGCAATTCAAATCTGTTTCCTTTTAGCAATTGGACTCGAAAAACTGTCAACCTAAAAATGCTCCACCTGCGGTGTCGCATTTTTATTAGTTGACAGTTTTTCTCGTCGAATTGCTAGGCAACAGATTTTCATTACCTTAACAACCCAAATTTACTCGGTAAAATACAAACCTCTTGTGCAATTATAAGTGATAATTTTTTATTCAAGCATGTTGTCAGTAAAAAACTGCATTCGGTCATTTTCATATTTTGTTAAAATTGCCAAAATATGAAAAAAAACTCGTGCAGTTTTTAGACAACATGCTTTCAAAAAAATTATCGGTAATTTTGATGCACTTGTGCAATTACCTACGATAATAGGCATAATAAAAAATAAGTTTAAAGTCGTTCAATTCATGGATGTTGTAATAAGTTTCTCATAATAATTGTTCAGTCAATACAAAATGAGTTGCAGTTATGAAAAAAATCGATTTTAATTTGAAATGCGAAAAGTAAACCCCAACATTTAAAAAAAGGTGTTCGCGAACTATAAAAAAGCACATGGACGTAATTTACAAACTACGAAAGAAGAAGTTTCAGTGAGATAAGGAAAGATGGGGAAACGTGATAAATAAAAAACATATTGGTTCAAAAATTTATACCAAACATATCGATCTCTCTCTCCATGCACAGTGTGCCATCCTTCACTACTTAATTTTGACAATACAAATTCAATTAAAACGCCCCTATAAACTGTTGAACTGTTCTGTTTTTAATGTTTCTTAACATGAGAAGCAAAAAACGGACTTAAATGTAGCGATTTTACATAAACCACATAGGCAATATTCGTCATTTAAAAAAGAAATGTTTTAATCGCAACAACAAATTAAGAAGGGAATATTGCCCTGCGTTAACAAAAAATCACTTTACTACTCTAAAAATACATAGTTTTATATTTTTAATGTACTCATGGATGCCCTTTCACCCACAAGAGCCAATATACACATAATTATATATTTGAAGTTACTATGTTAATAACAGATAGGTATATTTTAACTTTATAAATGGATAAACATTGGTACTGAAGATATTTCCTTCAGAAAAACTGTAATAGGCAGACAAATTTCTGTGAACGCCAACATTTATATTAAACGGTTTCTCAAATTGAAATTTTCGTTACTATTACATTTAAAAAATAAGTGAGTTTACCAATCGTACATAGTCTATCTAAAGGTGCTCACAGAATTATTCCAAAAATGCAAATATAAAGTTACATACAACATGAAACTTTTAACTTAATAAGCACAATAAAACAAAAAATCTAAATATAAATTCAAAAATAGTTTCTAAAACAGCCTAAAAATAAAAATTACACAGACTTTTATGGCGTAAAACTATTTTTAGACTGCATATTATTTCACATACAATTGGCATTGTAAATTCTAAGACAATTGCAAAAAGCATCTACAATTTTAAAAAACCTAAATTGAGGTATAAACTAATACGAAAGAAAATAGTAAAAATTGACCTTGCTAGCGCACAATAATCTACAACTGACAAAAAATTCTGTTTGAACTTATCTCGTTCAAATATTTCCGTTCATAGTCCGAAGCAGACTAGAATCAAATACATGAATATACTTGTGAACCTCTACTAGAAAAAAATTACCTTGTTTTGGCAAATAAGCAAATTCAAGGTGCAAAAATTGTGAATGAAATGTAAATTTTAGATTTACATCGTAACATTTCTTTAAAGACTTCTTATTGTGTATAGTTGAAATGTTTTTGCTATATTGATCTCCAATGAGCAATTGAGCAAGAAATGGAAACACAACTAGTATCGGCAAGAATTTCGTAAACTCTCACCAACACCCTGCGCACTTTTAAAATTGATTTTTTATGCATTATAGGAACGATGATAATCCATAAAGCAGGGCACGTACTCATATCAAAAATCGTTTAATTTGTGTAGCAAAATGCAGTTTGGTTAAGAGATTGGGCATTGATTGCATTTCAAATTGTTAAGATGATGAATTTTTAACTTTGGATAAATTACGTTTGTAACAATTCTTGTTGAATTATGAACTGTTTTTATCATAAATAGAGCAAACCAACATCAAAATTCCAACACTCTTGATAGAATATAAAAGTTACCATTTACATCTTTAAGATAAAAAAACTACAACTATCGATAAATAATATACAATACAAAAAGAAACATTCGTAAAGATTCGTAAACGTAAATTTTCTATTCAACCAAGCTGACCAACAGATCTAGTGTATAAATACCATAATTACGATCACAGCCAATACAGGCGCATGCTCTCTCTTCTCAGTCAATATATTTTATATAACAGTTGTAACAAACATAGAAAAATATACATTTGTTCTCAAACAATCAGTCGACATGTACAGGTTTATCTGGAACACAGCGAGGCAGTGCCAGCAGAGTTTTAACAGCAACCCGACACAACTTACATCTAGTTTTTCTTTCCGTATGAATATGTTACCAGCACACTGCTAATATAAAAATCGTTGACAACTTACCGAAGTAGTAAAACCTTGTCTTTTTATCGACATTAAAACGACAATAAAATACTTTCAGTCAATTCCTTCTTTGTTACGTCTAAGTAAAACACCTCGCGCACAATAATTGAAAACAGTATCTTCTTTAAACAAATATCAATTAAAAAAAGTCAACACATAAAATGTAAATCAACTAAACAAATTAATCACATGTACACGAAACACATTTGGTAAGCGACCTAGTATGACGGATCCATGTGAAGTAGTAAACCGTCACCTTGGCCCAAATGTTCGGGTTCCTTACAATCTTCATACAGTACATCATCGGATGGTGTCAACTGATCTTTTAATACCTCACTAGCCAGCATGTCACTAAAGTGGGCGCGTTAGTCGATGCTAACTATGATTAGTAAGAACATACCCGTTATCTGTTTTCAAGATTAATCCTCTACCGCGACTGACAGGTTGTTGCTTTTGTTTGGCAGGAAAGTTCTTTTTCTTGTTTGGCTGAAAGCAATACATGATAGAACATAAGTTCTAAATACATTTTGTATAAATACAGTGGAGTCCCGGTAATTCGAGTTGGATAGGACTGAAGGTACCTCGGATTGTGAAAAATTGGAATTACACATTACATTTAAAGAAAAATCTGAGGTTAGGGAATAGGCGTTAGGAAAACTACATCTTTTTAATGCAGAAGTTTTGAGCTAGTTGCCTTAAATTACATGGAATCTCAAACTATCGTGACTCCACTGTATATCAACAACCAGATTTTATGTTACAATCGGTTGTTCGGTTGATATGCACAGTACTAAGCTGGGGCAATGCCTGGTAATTGATGAATTCCACAGAATGGAACAAGTAATATATCAATAGAACAGCCGTAATTCCCTAAATTCAGAAGTGTAGGTGAGTCAGTATGCAATTTAAAAGTTTAGGAGCAGTAATCTTAGTGCAAAGATGAAAAGGTTAGCGAGCAATTTCATTGCAAACAATTTACCCCTTTAGCAAAGCCTTTTCTGAAAGTTGATATGAAATTAACCATTTACCACGCGCCCTGATAACCAGCATGATTGATTAAGAACTTTGACACTATGCATTCACGATATCAACAGGATAAAAAATTATCCATTATTGTGTAGACGTCATATGGACGTTATTTCGGTCTAAACCCCAAAAGTAATAACGGGACATCCTGTACATAAGAATATTTTATTTTTATTTTACTTGAATTTGTGTCTCAGCGTTATTTCTCCTTTTAGAATTGTTTGTAAATGCGTATTCTTTCCATATTTAAAGTTTATCACTATTGTAAATGGTTTATCTAGATATGTGTATTTAATTGTAAACCATAAAATTGTGTGTGAAAATGTAGGGACATCTGGTCGTTTGGGATCAGAAGTTTTGTTATTGGACGAAATTTAAAACAAATTATTTGGTTTATTAAAGAAAAAAAATTGTAAGTAATTTTAGATTTTTTTATTTTCAATTATCGACCGCCTGCTGCGAGGTACCAAACAAGCTTTGTAAGCTTCTCTTTCTTCAGGGATTTTGTTATAATTGTTTCATGTGTTTTGGAATAAATTTTTGTAATCGTCAATCAATGAATTGTGTTTATTTGGGTTAACGATCATGCTGAAAATAATGAAAAAGATACAAAATACAAGCTGCTGCAGAGGACACAATACAAGCAAAAAAGCAGCCCACCACGTGGATATTTTGCAGGGAACATTACAGTCCCCATGTTCACCACATGCATTAGGTAGTAGTTACCAACAGCAATCAAAATGAATCTATTAACAAAAGGTTTCACATTTAAAAAATGTTCAGGACAATTCTCTTGCTCGCTTTGCTCCTATGCAAAGGACATGTTATTCATGAATCTCACTACTGTAGGTGTTTATGAGAATTGACAATTAGAGGACAAGCACTGATTTTGTTTGCTACGCTCCTTTCAGTGTAGTATATCATACAACACTTGCTAAAATGTACACTATGATCTACTTCCTACTACACCAACATGTTTGCATGAAATCATGCTGGTACTTATGGAAGATTTTATAAACTGAAATTTGATGATGCAGAAAAAATAAAATCCATTTTAAGTTAAAAATTCACTTCACAAAAATTTTATTCAAATAAAAAAGATTTAAAACAATCATAATTTTTAGCAAAACTATTCAATACAGACTCCATTTTATTTTCTTGGTTTTTTTAACCTCAACACAGTACCACCCAACGAGGATTTAACTCTGTTGGTTCTCAAGTGCTGAGTACATCAGATCAAAGACCTTATTTTCATCAACAAGTATTATTGTTTACCATTAAAAAATACAAAGAAACAAACTACTTCAATCTACCACACACCTTCTATTTCACACTCTTCACACCGGTAGTGTATTAAGAACACATTCTCCATTGTAGTTTCACCCGTGTGACAATCCACTCTTCAGAGAGCTTAATTTACACTACTTCCTCTATTTTACTTTATTGATAAAATAAATAAAAAACTACATTTTAAAAAGAATGTTTGTAGTAGTTACTTACTCCCTTTTTATGTACAGGATATGTGGGAGGGCCCGGTTTACGCTGTTGACCTCTTTGATGAGGAGGCATGTACCGACCGCGGCCACCTATTAACTGCGGTTGTTGCCTCATGTAACCATAATTGGCCCCCCAGGAACCTACAACAACACCCGCAATTTGTAACTGACCACCACGAGCCGGAAGGGGATTTTGTCGAAGTCCAGCGGCGCCCCTCGTCGAAGGTAAGGGAAGTGTAGGCAGGTTACATGGTGGAGGTAACCCTTGACGAACTAGACCTTTATGGTTTGGAATTAGAGGAGTTTATTAAAATTAACGTCGAGGTACAAACCTGTAAGGGGTGGCAGTGGTGGTTTGGCAAATTGGAAATCCAATCCTTCCAGGATCGCTTTTCGCATACGTTCCACTTTCACCACGCGATCTATGTGGTTTTCACACAATTCCAACAAATTCTTCACATGAACAGACCTCGATAATGTATGATGGAATAATTTCCCATCAAAGTATAACCAAGGGCAACACATCAGCCACGGTAGTGGAGCGCCACATGCATCATTAGCTACCAGAGCCATTTCGACTCCCTCCATAAACATAGCTGCCAATTGTACACCTCTGCTTGTAACCATAGTTAATGTCAATTCCTGTAGATACTGCGCGTTCATAAGATCGGGACTGTAAGCCTGGCATAAAAATGCGTCTAATTCCTGCCGTCTCAGAATTGGCTTAGACTGTGACATAATATATCTCAAAACGCAAGCCATAACCAGCATATGTTGCGGTACATACGACGTATTCAGAATGAGGGGTGTATCAGAATTCAGACACGACAAGAGCGCCCTCATCCTACGCCTTTTGTCATCTACTCCCGGTCCAAACCATAACCTGTGAAGAGTTGGCACCGCCCATGGTAATGGATCCGCTTTAACCAATACTGGAGTTTGGTAAGGATTTGCACGACTGTACACCCACTCTTTCAGAATTATATCCGGAGGTGGATCATTTTCTGGCACTTCTCCTTTCTCTAAGATAAACTCCGATATACAAAGAAAATCGTAGCAATTTAAAACGTACCTATTTTCTTCGAGTGAACAAAACGTATATGATGTAGATTGAAAAGAACCGCGTAAACTCGTTGCCGAATCAGCCGGAAGATTTCATGGATTGGAGGAAACTCGCGACAATGCTCATCCTCCATAACGCAAGGCAGGCGGACTTCTTGCAAGCTTAATAGATGCAAAATCATCGGCGCCATAAGACCTTTTTGGTGTCGAAGAGAAGCAGTTCTTAATACATCAGATGAGACAGACAATTTTACTACATTTGATAAATCTGCAAAAGTCGCAAAATTATTTCAAATAAATTGTGGCGGTCGAGTTCTCACTTGTTTGTGGGGATAATGAATGTTTAGGAGATTCTGGAACACTGCTCGCGTTTGAACTACTCGAGCTTACAAATAAATTAACTCTAGGGGTAGTGGAACTGGTACTGGGACTGGCTACGTGATTTGTCGCCTCCCCACTGCCGTAATCACTATGTCCATTTAATCGTGAACTGTCTGATGACGGCGAAGAATCATCTGAAACATAGTTGAAAGCTACTATTATAATTTGTCAAACAAATAATGATGATAAAAAATTTGAGTCTTGAAGAAATAAAGTGGCTATTCCCCCCTCTACCTTTACTTACCTTTGGCAGAAATATCTATTTCACTTAAACCTATAACAATGTCCGAAGAGATCACAGCATTTGCAGTTGCCAATTTATAATTTTGCAAGCTCTCTTGCTAAAAAAATAGAAACAAAATTATAATTTTTTTAAAAAGTGCAAAAACAAACCTCTTGCTCTGTTGTTTCTGATGCGAAACCCGATGTGTCAAGTTCGGCATCGTCCACCCTAGCATTGGTTGCACAATTTATGTTGTTATTGTTTTGTAGGTTCTTCTTCTTGAAGTCTTTTTTACCTACTCAAAAGAATGACTGTCAAGTCTGTAGATGTACAAATAATAATAAGAGAATGAAACTGTTTGCTACGCTCCTTTCAGAGTGGTATAACCTACAACTCTTGCTAAAACGTACACTATGATCTACTTCCTACAACACCAACATGCTTGTAGAAGATCATGCTGGTACTTACGGAAGACTCAACATTTCAAAAAGCGTGTAATATCTTACCGGAAGACCCACTGCAGTACTTCAAAAACCCATTCGCAGTTCCGTTTAAATAATACTGTACAGACTGTTTAAACAGATCTGCGCGTTTATCGCCGCTATCAAACAATTGTGAAACTAAATCTTCCATATCTGAAGGTGGGGGAAGAGATCGCACGAACTCAGCTATTGCTTTCACCGCAGTGTCGCCCGTTAACTATAAAAAAAGTCTAACAAGGTCTCCAGCATATTATTGAATTACCTTCCCAGTGGAAATAAGGACAATTTTTCTGTAAATATCTTGAAGGTGACTTTCAGGTAAAATAAAGTTTCCCATTAACGCGGCGACAACACAAATTTGCTCACTGCTAAGTTGTAAGGTTTTAGTCAATTCTTTAAGCATGTATTCTTTGGTCTCCAGTGATCCCTATAAAGAATGACAATATTTAGGGAGATTTGTGTGTAACATTAAAGTACGCAGAAAACAAATGGTAAAGCAAGATCAAATTGTTAACATAAACTATACGTATATCGTATTCAGTGTTGGCCTTACATGTGCAAACCAACATTGAACAGCATGTGTCTATTTTTATCTACAGTTAAAATCGCCCCGAAAAATCTCTTAAGGTCAGGATATGCTCCTTCCAAACATTTTTTTATAACGAAATTTATACAAAGTCGGAGAGCTTTCACACAGTTTTGTGGTGTATTATCCACACACACAAAAATTGTACCTTAACCAAAACGAATTTTTTTACAAATAAACGTAGGGTCCAAAAATTTCTCCAAGGGCCGGTGTTAACCGAGGGTTGACACAATTTTTGTGTTTAATTAACGTCGCGCGTGCTTCCAACCACGGATGGACTCGTTGCATCAACCCAAGGCTGGTGTGCAGTTGAAATTTCCAACCCGTGGCTATGCTTCAACTGGCACATCGTGTTTCGGTTTTAAAGGTTAGAGTTCAGTCACAGAGTTTTTGCAAGTGCTCAGTGCTGTGAAAATGTACATTAGTCAGGGGAGGACATTTTTTGATAGAGGGCAGTCATCAGAAGAACGAGGACGCAAAGGACGGAAAAAGCGCCTAGAAATTTTCGCTACCCTTAACTCTCACAATTTACAATTCTTTGTTTTTCTGAGCAACCAGAAGGTATACAGAAACAAGAAAGCATCATTGGGTGTGATGCTAAGATCTTGCAAAAAAATTAAAAATAGTGTTATTCCAAGATAGTACGCTGTCAATTTGGGTCTCTTTAGCTTGTTAAACATACAACTAATGAACTCAAAATTACTTTTGTTTCCATGTACCATCTACCTATGGGATACATTTGTTTCTTTGGAAATTAACTGTCAGATAACCATAACACAAAAGACCAACCTCGAGGGATGGTTTTTCACATTGAAACTTACCTGACAGTTACTTTCCATAAAAACACATTTGTTCACGTAGACAGATTTCAACTCTGATCGACATCAGATCACATACAGGGTGTCCTACAACAACTGCCCATATCTAAACCTTGAAATACTTTGCAAATTTGGCAGTATTATAATGTCAATAAGAGGAATTCTTCTAACTAAAATATTTGCAGGTGTACGAGGTCCGGCTATTATATAACGAGACTGCGCGCGCAGAACGCGTACCAGAAGTGTAGAGGGGGAAATGAACACATCGTAGGAAACCTTGAAGTGACAAGTCGTGGATCTTGCATCAAGACAACGCACCTGCTCATAACGCGCTGTCTGTAAAACGTTTTTTAGCCGATAAAAGCATCGAAGTGCTTGAACAAGCGCCGTATTCGCCATATTTAGCGCCCTGCGACTTCTACCTATTTCCCAAGATCAAGTGTGCCCTAAAAGGAACGCGTTTTGGGTCAATGGAGGAGGTGAAGCAAAAAACGACGCAGCTACTCAAAGGGCTCACAAAAGAAGACTTTCAGCACTGCTTCCAACAGTGGAAAAGCGAATGATTCGGTGTGAGCAGAGGGAAGGGGAGTATATTGAAAGGGAACATTCGTTGGATCTGTAATTTTTATAATAAAGACCTTTTTCGTAACCAGTCTCGTGATTTAATAGCCGCACCTCGTATTTTCAAGCACTTCTGATTATACTGCAGTTTGTTGCCCACTTGCTCATTTTAAATGGTACACCCTATATATTATTTCATTTCAAAATTCTATACCTATACATTTCACGCATAATGCTATATACCTAAATTTAATGGTTTTTGACATACATACAGGGTGTAGCACGAGGAAAGGGACAAAATTTTAATGTGTTCGTTCATTGGGTGAATCGACTTGAAAGTATACTATGAACATAGGTCAAAATTACTATTATTAAATGAAAAAAATCATATTTCGATAACAAAGCATTTGCAGGCCCATGTTCATAAGACATTTTCGACTCTAATTCACATAAGGAACACATAGTAACATTTTGTCCCTTTCCTCACGGGACTCCCTGTATAATATGTCAAAAATGACGTTGGCATAATTGGCAATTTTTTGTATATGAGAGCCGTTATGATTTAATTGGGACTTTTTGGAAAAGTAAGTGTATCAGGAGGGTAAACATAAAGTGGTAGGTGTTTTGACACTTACTTTGTTCCATTCTGCACCTTTTCTTGTGTTCCAAAGACCCTGATACCACCATTTTTGGGAAAACAATAAGTTAACAGAGTGATTGCTAAATTAACTCTGGGAACGATTCAAATTCAAAAATAAAATTTTTAAAATGCAAAATTCAGATTTATTTCTTACAAAAACAAGTTAGCTCAAAAGGTGCTTTCATAATAAGTTCCACTACACATTTAACCCAAATTTAACCAACACAGTATCTTTCAAGGCCACTTAGATCCTATGATGGCGCATGAAAAATGAGCACCCTGTATAGCAGATAGCATTTGGCCTACCAACAACAAATTTTGTGGATATATTAATAAGTACAAAAAGTGAAAATCAAAAGTAGTCACAGAAAAAAATACTACCAATACTCCTCAAGCTGAAGTTATAAAATAAAAAATGGAGACTTGTTTAACAAGGATTATATTCAATTATTACCAAATCAGCGACTTTTTATTTTTACAGTCCCCAATTCAATTTAGCATTTGAATCTTTCCCTCAAAAATTTTATTCAGCATTATTTTTCATGCAGATATGCCAACATTCAATATATAATTCCTGGAAGACTATAGAAAGTATGAATTTGCAGCTTTGAAACATAATATTGTAGCTGTTCACTTTTGTTCAAAGTGCTGTGTTCTTGTCTTTGTCCATTATGAGGTCAGAAAAAGCGAGAAAAAGAGCAGAAACATGTCAAAAAACCAGTATTCAAAATTTCTAGTCTAGTCACACTTTGTTTCAGTGTCTTTTTTGATTTTTTAATTAGAAAACATGCAATTTTTTTCAAATAGCAAGAGTCGGAGCCAGCACAGAGATAACTTAATGGAGTATGTGGTATTTCAAAAATTTACCTTTCTCAAAAACCTTCTTAAATATGGGAAAAATTAATTTTTTTAATGAAATACCCCTAAGATAACCCCCCGTTTTAATGAATGTTTGATCGCGTCGAATAATACTGAATAACTTAAAATATGTTGTAAAACTTTACAGTTGAAATGGGTAACTTCCACCTTACTAGTCATTTCAAAATTGAACATCTTTGGCTGCATTGGGCAGTAACCCTGTTAAGTTATGAAGAAACTTATTTTTTAATTGTGTATTTCACTGTGAAAACTATTTTGAATTTTGTGGACCCGATTTTGAGGTATGTGAACACGGTTTTGAATTCAGTGAAACTGTTCTGAATTTGTGAACAGGCATTTAGACTTTTTTAAGCGTGCTTTTTGTATTATTCCATCATGAATAAATGAATAACAATGAAGAAGTTTGTAATGAAATTGTTCCTTGAAACCCCTCTATAAAAATGATGTCTTTTTGTAAAATGAAAAAATTTTTTACAAAATGTTCATCAATTGTCATTTATAACTTTGTTATTTTTGGTTCTATGACTAAAAGTTACTAGACCAAAATTGTAGCGAATTTTATTTTTATTTAAGAGGAATGTTCCCCAATAGTTTGGCAGGTAAACCAACCATTTGCACTCCTTAAGTTGTGTCCTCTGACAATCACACACTAAGTCTCCTGTAATTTATTGCGAATATTGAGAATATTCGCGAATTTTCGGTAATGTTCATATTTTAACTATACTATTCTATACTAATCTAGTTACAATACACCAAAAACCAAAACCAAAAATATTTATCTTTATAATATAATGAGCGATCAAAAATGAGTGGTGGGAATTTAACAGCCATTTCGTTTGAAGAAAAATTGAGTAAGTTACATGATTTAATTAATGTGCCATTAAATGGTTCAACTTTATTACGTATTACGGAAAATTGTATAACTAATGTGGGATTGAGCAAATTTTCAAACAAAGAAGATTGTGTGGACATAAATATTCCAGATTCTTGTGAAAGTAAATTAATAAAATTACAAAGCGCGAAGGACCTTTTAGACGCGGAACGTACGCGAATAATTGCAAGTATGGAACGTAATGAGAGATGAGGATTTCGATATTTAAAAGAACTTTTGCTTTTACTGCGAAGAGTAACGGAATATTTGGAACTATTAGAAGATGATGAATACCCTACTAGAGATTATGTGCAATACACGCATTATGCTGCGATGGACGTTTGTATTCGCATTGGAAAATATAAAAGTGAAATAGAAGAGGATGATGAAGCTTTTAATAATTTGTTACAAAAATATAATCAATTTGTATAATAAATATATTAATTTTTTTTATTATTTATGCCTGAAACTCTTCAAACTATTGCATCCGATGTAGCATACTCCACTAGGAATATAATATCATTGATGTACTCCATTATAATTGTAACTTCAACACATCTAGCATTACATTTTGTATAATATTATGTAGGTATTTATTACATGCATTAAAATAAAATGGTTATTACACCTTTAAAAGTCTTATCATATCTGCTATAAATAAACACTATTGCGCGTTTCCTGGTCCAGAAATAAACGCGGGAAAACTAGATATGACGTAGACAAAATGGCCGATACTGCATTCTGATTGGTGTGACGCGTTTCCTGATCCAACCCAAAATGTGACGTAGACAAAATGGCCGACCGAAATACTCGATTCTGATTGGTGTGACGCGTTGTCTGGTCCAGAAACACCGGATGCAAAACAGCCAAAATGTGACGTCCCAAAATGGCCGACTCACGCGCTCCCATTGGCTCACACGTGACCACGTGACCGAAATACTGCATTCTGATTGGTGTGACGTCACTTCCTGGTCCCGTACATACATTGCTCATCTACTGTTGTTCACATTACTGAATGTTCATAATATGCGAATGTTCACATAAACGCGAGTCTACTGTAGGTAGATCACTTTATACAAAGTTACATAATCCTATGTCCTATGTGAACAGGATGAATAAACATTATTATTATAATACCCTTATTTTTGGTGCTTAATAGGAATAAAAATTTTGAGTTTTTATTTAAAAAAAATTTGAACGATTTTTTATGTTCGTTTGTGAGTTCCTGTATTTAATAAAATCAACACACTCTGCTATGTGGAATCCCTTCTAAAAAGAAATGGGCCCCACATAAATAATATAGAAAAAACCAGGTGTCAAATTCTTGACAGAATAGCTTCCTAGCTGAAACCAAAAATTGCCAACATATGTTTTTTTACGCATGCATTTTGTTTGCTTTTATTAGAGGGACCTACCACCATCCAAATTTCGTTAAAATTGCTCCATAAATAAGAAAGTTGGATGTTACACATGCGTAACTCGATTTTTTGCGCATGCATTTTGTTTTCTTTTATTAGGAGGACCTACCATCCAAATTTCGTTTTAATTGTTCCATAAATAAGAAAATTGCATTTCTGCGCATGCGCAACACGATTTTTGCGCATGAATTTTGTTTGCTTTTATTAAAGGGACACCATAGAAATTTCGTTTAAATTGCTTCAGAAACAAGATCGTTGCGTTTTGCACATATGCAACACAATTTTTTGACTTTGCCAATTTTTTTCTCCGTTTTTTGATAATATAACCCGGCCCAATTTTTTGTAGGTTGTACACAGGAAAATAAGGTCTTCCAAATAATAAATAAAAATTTTAGGTTGCTATTTGAAAAAAAAAGTTCGATGCCGTTACGGCGCTCCAAAATTTTTTTTCAAAAATCCGGCCTGTTATTTTTCTGTTCGGTATGCCTAAAACATATACAAAATTTCAACAAAATCCGTCGAGCCGTTTTCTCAGAAAATTGCCAACAAACGTACGTACATACATACAGACGGAAAAAATTTTATTCTTTAAAAGTTGCTTAAAATGGTCTAAAACGTCGACATTTGATGAAATTTTGAAATGTTCAAAAAACGGCTATCGCAATAGCTACCTAGCACATGCTAGGAAACTAATTAACAATTATTGGGACTGCAAACGTTTTCATATAAACAAAAATATGTCAAAAACGGCTAAATTTAGGTATACAACATTATAAATGACATGTAGATAGAAATTTACATAATTATACTCAACAAATGAAACAATATATAGGACGTTCCAAAAGTTGACTTCAACTTCTGTCATAACCGGACATACCACCAAATTACTTATGTGAAATTTATCAATTCCAGGAAACTTTATGCAAAACTGCATAAATCAAATTTGTCCCCCATTAATAGATCAGATACACGTGAAACTTCCTTTTAACCAGTTCAATACGTTAATAGAGAAATTATACACACAAAAACGTGACCCTCATGAGACAAACTGATTTTATGCTACTTCCAAGTTTAAAACAACAAATGATTACAATTTTGAATCTACACTCCCCCAGTACAAAGCAATATGTCGATGGCTGTATACCTATGCCATGTTCACAATAAAAAATTAGGTCTATGATTATGTAACACCCCATATACTTTGGGACTTCTGTATACCAGGAAAAGTTCTTACCTTATATGTGAGTTTAATATTTTCCGAGGAGAAATAGCGGGGTGGATCAAAAACAGCATACTCGGCATCATCTCCTAACAGTCCGTGGAACCCATACTCTCTACAGTACGCGATTACCTCTTGATGATGATCATCCATTGTGCACATCTACAACGTAACATAATGCAACCAATTATAAAAAGAAGACTATCGGATACATACCACAGTCGTATTTAAATGCCTCAATGCCATTCGCAAAGCAGTCCTAATGCAAGTCGGAGGTGTCCACCAAACTTTGGGTGGAGGTGTACCCTTTGTATTTATGTGTTTTAAAACCTAAAAGTTGCATTGGTCATCCATTGGAATTATATGAACGCAAACGTACTAATCCAACTTTCTGCCTAACATACGCTTGTTCCGCAACCCACTCTGACATCCGTTCGGGAACTGCCGTACCGTTAAATACCAATGCAAGTTCAATATTTCCACGCTCAATCGCCTGCATCAGCAGAGATAAAAATTGTACCATCCTATTCCATTGACCACCACACGCCCAGTCTTTAAAATACGAATAAAACCCAAATTTTAATATTATGGTAAATACGTACCCGAAAAATAACCTCCATACAGCCTGTCCAAACAACACTCAGCATCCATAATCAGCTTTAACTTATTTCCAATCGGTCTAATTTTACGACTTGCATACTGCGGTTGCTGGCGTTGTGTAACGTTCCTCGCAATTTTTAATAAGTCCACGGAAACATAACCGCCATCCAAGGAAGGACTTTCCAAAAATGTTTGCAAATCCTGAATGCCCATTTTGAAGTTGATTCTTTAAATGCGTTTAAATTGAAAAATTGCACACGCTCTGCTTCATTTCACATCTGCAGCAAAATATTATCAGCTGAAAGTGAGGAGAAAACTCAATCATAGGATCAGCCGCCATGTCAACTTAAACTAAAACAAACGTCGATCAACAAACACCCAAGAAGTGTCATTTTAGGGCAACGGTTTGGTTTAAACATTCGTTTTTTGATTAATTAATTGCTAGTAGAAGTAAATTTTGGTTAGTCAACATTCACTTTAGTTTGAATGGTAATATTTCGAGACGCTTTGATGCACGCCTTCCACTTACCGGTAACTTTACGAGAGTAATAACAATACGTAGAGACGAAGGACACTCGATGTGCAGCGTTCATTTCACTCGTTAATAAATTGAAAACATTTTTTGCTCGTTTAAAGGCCTCGTAAAACGGTGTTACTTACTGAAAATAATAAAGAATAGCCATCATACAGAGACACACCAACAAAATGTTTAGCGGAAAGAGTACACAAACCTTACTGCGCATGTCGGATGCAGCATTTGTTAGAATGCGTTTGAAAATTGGCGGGAAATACACTTGCCTTAACCTTACTTGGAGCCGGTAAGGAGAAATCGAGTTCGACCCGAAAATTTAAAGGTCTCCGAGGGGTATCTATTTAATATTTATTTCAGTTTCATGATTACTCTTACACAGTCACGAATTTATCTCAGTGGAGCCCACAGCGCAGTATGGTAGTGCGGCCCTAATTAAAACGTTATACGTAGAATTAGGAATTTCTTCTTTTTTTCCGGCAAAAGAAGGACATAATAACTTTACCTACTTTTACGTTCCAACATCCTGACACATTCAGTTCCTATCTTATCTCAACGAAATTTCATATCTGGATGCAGGTCCGTAAGCAAGATAAAGTGGCACCTGCAGCAGAGGTGACAGAAGGGAATCCTAAAGGGGGAAAACTGTATCAATACAATAAGTTTGGAGAACATTCAATAGATGGCGCCTTAGTTAAAATCTTCATCGAGTGTTTTCATGTATTTATTGATTAATTCATAAACCAACAAAAGTTAAATTTGCGGGTAGCCCAAAAGCTAATTGATCAGTACTTCCCGAAAGATCATGTAACGGCCAAAGAAAAATTAACTAGTGTTTGTTGTGTACAGAGAGGTACTTCGCTTAGCGACTAGGTGGCGTATGGATCTACGGATGTTGTCGGGGTCTAGGACACTTCGCCGACACGATTTTTTGATGATCCATATCGCCGACTAGGGATACTATGCCGACCGTGCCCACATCGTCGACAAGTGTGCTAAGTAGCTAAGTACACAACGCCGAAACGTGTGCAAGGGACACTAAGCCGAACGTGACCACAACGACTATTCGACATACCAGGCCCCTCATCTCTGTCCAGGTTCATTAAGAATTTTTGTATGAGTTTGCATTTTTAAAAAAATGTCCTAAACCTACAAATAACCTAATATCCAAAGCTGCTTTGTTTCACACTCCGTCCAGTTTCATTAAGAATTTTCGTATGAGTTTGTAGTTAAAACTTATCAATTTCCATGAAAACAATGTGTGCACATAGGGTATCTTGACTGGAAAATTGCTCCACATGATAAATATTACGATCATTAGCATTAATTGCAATGTTTAAAAATGTTAATGATAATCCACACTAACCTCATTTCAGATTTTATTTTCCTCTCAATACTTTATTAATTCAACTAGATCCCTTTGGTATTTTAGAGTTATTTATGCAACGTACAAATTAAAATAAAATGCAGTTAAGTATATCATGAGTGTTTCAATTAAATCACATTTAATTTTCGTTTATCACGTTTTTTTTGCAGATTAAAAAAGTTATGTGGAATGCTCAGATCAAGGTTATATGAAAATAGCACAATGAGAAACATCTTCAATAAAATTATACAATACAATGTGCCCGATTGCCAACATCACAGCACTAGGAGATATTTTAAATAATAAAAGTTCACTATAAATTCTGTTAACCATTTAAAACATGAAGTTATAAAACTTTTATCCAATAATCTGTAAAATTGCACTAAACCACTGAAAATTATCTTGAAACAATAATTTATTAAAAAACAACAACCACATTGAAAAGGTCAGGATTGGAGGACACAATTAAAATTGTATAATTTTTTTATTATATTTGATATAATATATTCAAATTCACACAATTTGCCTAAATAAATATAATTGCTGATCACTTCTATTAAGCCTAGGATTAAACAAAAATTATACCATTAATAGACAGACATGCGATCACTACTAGTTCCTTTGATATTGTGCAGCACAATGATGACTTTGGTAAGTCAATTTTGTTCTCTTTACCTGCAAAACGAAATAGTAATACAACATAAAATTATTTTTTTTTTAATTTGTTACAATCCGGTTTGAGGGACCAAGCAATCAAATCTCTTGGTCCCCCATCAAAAAATTGTTCATAATCTCCTTCTAACAAAAGAAAAGTATATGTATCTCAACGCATACAATACTTGATCCGCAGAAGGTACTCTCTCAATGTCCTATCTACGTACCTCTTTTAATTTATGTACATACGAATTCCACTATCTGTCAGTATCTGAAATAAAAACATTGAATTACTACCTAAAGTTTTAATAGAAGATAAAAAAATTTTATGAAGTAATATCTCAGAAAATAAGTTTGTCGTTCAGCAAATTTCAGACCCGAAAGATGATTTTGTGAATAGCATCATTTAGTATAGAGACTCAAAATGCAATTGACCAGTATTACACTTACCATATTGTAAAGATTGAAACGTCCAAAAGACCTGAAACACAAATAATAGTATAAGACAAGGTTACATACAGCACCCTGGTATTTTGTCATTAAGTAATCAGTTAAAAAAAGTTGTCAGTCAAGGTTTCTCAGCCCCGAAAGATGATTTATTAGAAGTCATCATAAATAATCAAAAATTAAAATGATGGATTTTCGATGTCACTTACTCGAGATGATCATAATTTTCCTCAAGTTGGACCTACAAAAAAAGACAAAAAATTATTACAAGTCGAGTGTATTGCTCATAAATTTTTTGTTTTAACTATCAGTTGGTAGTGCATGTTACAATAGTAATCAATGGTAATCATATACGGTGATTGGAATCATCATAAAGAATAAAGTGAATTTAGCAATTTACAAACCAACTTACATGATTCTTTCACTGCGATTGCGTCTCCGTGGTACTCCATGGACTATAAAAAAAATGGAGTATAAGAACATATTAGGAATTAATAAATGTTTATGTGATCATATCAGTAAGTTCCGTCTTGAAACATACCACCACAGTAAAATCTAGCAATAAATTTATACATCAGTTTGTAATCGAAATAACAACAAAAATTGTATGTAGATCTTTTTCTTGATGGTTAATAATTTGATGAATTGAAGTTATATAATATGTAAATAAATAGTCCAAATATTTGTTTTTATTTTTCTATGGGTTATCAATTTCGTACGTAAATACTTACGTTTCACATTTTCAGCCAGTGCAGCCGGTGTATAGGAAGTTTGAGCCAATAGAGTATGTCACTGTAAAAAAATGTATGGTATTATTGGAAGTCGAAGAATTTCAGATCGTGAATTTATATTTAAACGTCAGATGGTAGTGCATGGTTTAAAATATAATCACTAATCAGTTACGGTGATTAAAATCATCATGTGTATTAAGTAGTAGATTTACAAGTTACCCTTGATGTAAATTCTCCTATTGCACAAGTCGCAATTAAGAGATCATATATGTTTAAATACTATTGGTATTTTTCAGTGGTCTATAATCATGTCTGCAATATTAGATCTATGTAACCTTGATACATCTAATAAATCAACACATATTCTGTAATTAGTGACATCTAGTTTTAATTTTATTGCAGGTACTAAATTTTTCTTGAAATATTGGCATACACTCTTGCACACACAAAAGTGGTTTGCACAGATAACTTAGTCTACTAACAACATTGCAACAAAAAAATCTTTGAAATAAGTAGGATTTATGAAGGTGGTTTTGCTGTCATTTGTCATTGCAAAAATTTTCTATTTTTGAAAATGAACGCCTTTGTATTATGTATTATAATATAGCCCCCCACTCCCCACAAAGGGGTGACAAAATTGTTACTCTACCTTGTTCCACGTATCCATTGAACCTACTCCCTTGTCAGCTTGCGTTAGCGCGTCACTGCTCCCTTCATGCAAACTGTGCAGAAGAGATGTTTGCTCACTGTAGTACTTCTGGTTTCTTTATGTAGGTTTTCTCTGTATATTCTGCATAGCAATTCTCGTCCAAATTTTCCGCGCTGAGAAAAAAATGTTTAAATGTAACTAGTTTATCTAGAATGAATTTATTTATTAAAGTAATAAAAAACCAGGCAAGTTTGATAAACCGTGTAATTAGGCCGAGCGCATACATACAACTGTTGCATCGACTAAACTGTTTTGTGGAGTTTTGTACTTTTCGTGATTTCTACTCAACTAAACAGTTTAGTTGATGGAGGTGCGTATACAATCGATTTTTTTATGTCCTCAAATCGACCAGATACTGTGTACATCCTATACTCAGCAGACTTGTTAGTCGATACTCAGTGATAGATTATCTAGCTAGTGGAATATTTCATACGTTACATTCTAAGCTAAAAGAGCACCCAGACAAGTTTTTCAAAATTATAGAATGAGCGAAGAAAACTTATTTTTACTAAAGGTTTCTGCTATAGTGTAGATATGCAGGATCTAGTCTATTTGAGGTAGATTACTCTTGAGATCGATTGAAACAATAAATAATGAAATAGTTCCCGCCATGGTGACAAGAGACGTGGCGCCGCTTCCAATGCTTATACGAGACTGGCAGTCGCAGTCAGTCGCGGATCGACTGTTTGGTCGATGGTTTGTGCACATAATACAATGCATTACAAATTCAGCGCTTGATCGTTAGTTGTCCAACTTTTAAATCAAAAGCAAATCGATAAAGCTTTTTGACTTTTTTGTCGAGCAACTATCGAGTTGACAGTATGTGCGCTTAAATATATTCTTTTAAACATATGATACACAACAAAACAGTTGTTCAACTAAAAGTTGTATGTATGCGCTAGCCCTTATGGTAAAAGAAACAAATACTTTTTTAATAAAATAATTGACCAATTAGATTAAAATTTTGATTTTGGTTCCCAAATAGAAAGATCTGTGACTGCTTATTGGACAGTTTTCCCAGATAGGTGGGATAAGGAGAAGAGGATCAATCAGTGGCCACCCAGGTCGCAAGATCTCACTTGATTTTTTAGTTTCTCACCAAGACCACAGAGGTCATTTACGAATTAGAGGAAAACTATTGGCCCTAAATTGCATATTTTATGTCATGATTGGTCACACAAAAATTTTTTCAAAATGCCGGCTTGAGCACAACCTTTTCTTTTGTAGATTTTATAGAATTTCAATGAGAAGGCAACAATGAATAGTGTCCCTTGCTCTATGACCATTTTTCATGAGAATATCTAAAGACTGGACCTGGATACCTTGCAATCTGCAGGAATTTGGAAAATTTGAAATATTGCTATGCAAAACCCCTTTCTCTTTAATGACACCCTATCCTAACAACTCCTAATTAATAGGTCATTATCTCTTAATTGAAAAAATGGGAGGGGACTCATTCAACATTTCCAGTCGTACCTGGATAATTTTAAATACAAACGTTGAGGACGTGTTCATTGAATGTTTAGACATTAGGAAAGTTTTTCGTGATTAATTACATACAAGTAATATAGTATAATTTAAACAACGCCGCGAGCTGTAGCGCTTACAGTTTTTGTCGGAATTTAATGCAACAAAAACTGACTGCAAAAATACTACAAAACGACGATAATTATGTGTTTGTAACACCAAAAATTAAAGCTAATTTTTTCAAATTTTATAGCATGCCATAGAAACAATCGTTTAATAGCTGCCATTATTACAATTTAGTGTGGTAGCTAGATTAATTTTTTCAGTCAATTAACTGATGTTGCAAATGTACCTCGAGTGCAATATAAACCGTAAGCAAGGAGGGCGTCTGCATCGCGAACGATTCGCTAATCTAGATCCTCCAGAATCCACTAGACAACTTGCAAAATTATGGTTCCTTCAAAAAACCGAAGAGAGAACAGCATCAAACCAAACAGTTCATGGAGTTTTAAACAACATAATATGAAATCGTACATTCTCCAAAAAGTACATACACTGAAAGATAATTATGCTTGCAGACAAAAATTTTGCAATTACTATCTCAATCATAACAAGATCCATTGTTTCATATAAAAATTATTTGGTCAGATGCAATTTTCTTGCAAGGAGGATAGATCGGTATGTTCGCCCGATCTGACACCATTGAATTTTTTTCTGGGGCCAGACAGTGTGGACCATCAGAGACCGATAATAATTGATGTTTGTCGTGAAATACCCCAAGTGTTTTGTTACATTCCATGTATGGAGTAATTAATAGGTGCCAGTTGTGCACTGATCAAAATGGTAGTCAATTTGAGTAGAATTAACAGCATTTAAATTGGGGATATTTATAGCACTTTTGTAGTATACATAATGTTTGCTCACGATTTCTGTTCCACTCGATGCATACTGAGGATTGTTTCCATGGCATGCTATGACATTTCGAAAAATTTGCTTTTTTAATTTTTTGGGTGAAAAATTCCAATCAAAAGAATATTAATCATTGATTTAGGACAAATTCTATTAAATTCAATTTAAAAAACAATCATTCCCATTAAAATATTTAAGTAAACTATTAGTAGCGCCCAAAAATATAAATTTATAACTTTTTTTAATTACACCTAGTATGACAACACAATGCATCCAAGGTGTATACTGTATAATATAATTATGTAATTCTTCAGTTTGTTGCTAATGGTAGCATTTTAAATAATAAACCTAATAACATCAAGACTACATTGAATTTTCTAACTTAAACAGCATACTAATCCGCTACCAAAAAAGATTGGCAATAGTGATGACTGCATACATTAAACAATCAATTATAAAAATTTCAAATTCTCACAAAAAATATGGACCTCCTTCACCTGGCAATAAAATCAAGTAAAATGTTTATAGACAAATCTTAAGATTTACATCTACATTTCTTTTCTCATATTTTTAGACAAGGTACGGGCAAGTCTTTTCATGTACATATAGAAAAAAATTCATTTCACAAGTCCTTATTCTCGAAATTTAAAATCCCCAGAGACCAAATTTCTTCCAAATTAGAATTTTATTTTGTACGTTGCATTAATGCGCCATCTAGCAGATGAATTTTTTAAAAACATCGCAACGGGCATAGGTACCAAAAAAGTGTCACTTAAGTGACTTAGACCAATATGATAATAAAACAGAAACATAAACTACGGCACCTTTTTTTGATAGTACCATACACAATAGTTGTAACATCCACTTATATGCAAAAGATCATAGTATAAAAACAAAGAGTTATATTCTGAATTCTTGTAAATAGCATTTCAACCAATTTGGATATTTTTAAAATGCAAGATACACACCACTCTAAACAAAAAAAATTTGAAGGCTAGCATTAGGCAAAATAAAGTGTAGACAGCAATTAATTGTAATAGATTCATAACAGAATTTTGCAAAACAATCTCAAATAGTATTTGGCGCATCATAATGAATTACAACTTTGTTCAATATATGTATGCTTGGTACGTAAACATGGCTGTTGAGACTTGATTGGGAGGATTTCATTAAATTAAAGTATTGTCGGTTGGCTTGATTGAGATACGGAAAGCTTCAAAGAATTGCAAAAACATGGCAAAACTAAGTTTATTATATTTGGCCACTAGATAACTTCTTATCAAGGTAACATATAATCTTCATAATCCAGCTTTTGTTAATTCACTTATGGGAAGTTATAATCCCGCATCTACGTCACAGAAAAACGAAATGTGGAAACCATAACAGCTGACATAAAGATCGGGATGCAAACTGTTGTAAAATAGTATAATGTTTTAAACCCTTGAAAAATGTTACATAGGCCCAATTTTGTAAAAAGATAAACAAACAAGATAACATTAACAAGTGACATCATGTTGCGAAATGACTACAATGAAACCTATCCTAATGTAAAAATATTTATTCTTTGATAAAAGAGGGCAAACAATTTAGTGTACACGAGGCATCTATCAAAATTAAATGTTTTTCACTTTACTTGCGCTTTGCAAGCTTTGTTATCCAACAAAAAACAACAAGTCAGATGTATGTAAAATTAAAATACTAACCTTCATGTAGGAGAGTAGCAACAGCAGTCCTTCCTAGAATCTGTAAAACAAGTACAATGTAAATTTACTGGCAATTCGATACAACGAACTAATTAATTTCTAAAAAGTTTTCAGAAAAAATTCATCAATCACTAATTCTTGACGAAAGATGGTTTAAAAAGCATCATACTAAACACCAGAAACATAGGAAAATTAATAAATTCATTTATGGCAGTAGACCACTTTTAAATTGTGCAAGACTAAGTACATTGTTCAATAATGCAAGTCATAGAAATGATGATATCACTTCTACTTTAGTGTCAATGTCCTGTATGGGAATTAAGTTCTCTAATCTGCCCGAAGCCTTATATTTGCATACTTAAATAATTCAAACCTATTTTAATAGGCTCACCCTTGAAAGGAAGGTTCCCCGTTATCTGTAACAAAAAAATCAGATTAATTACAGAAGAAATTGTTGCCTTCAGTGGTCTTTTATGAAGACATCAGAAAAAGTAAACTTGTCAATCACTCATTCTTGACGAAAGATGGTGTTGAAAAACATCACGAATGCAGGTAAAGTAATCGATAAATGTTTGGTGAACTCACCTTGTGTATCCTATGGTGACCCATGTTTCAGATTACGATAGTCACCTGTAAAAAAAAAACTATTTAATAAATGGATGAAGGTCAACTTTGTTTAATTAAGTCCATTTGGCAGTTGGGTCCGCTTTTTAAGATCTGCATGAAGGGCATCTGCAAACATTGGGAATATGCCAAGCCTCTTGACACCATTATTTATGTACACCCATTAAAAGTGATTTGACGTTCTCATATTTAAACATTTGCAGAACGTACGAGGTTTTTTTATCGTCATAGTAGACAAATGTTGGCACTTTCCATCAGAATGTGAAAATCTTCTCATGTGCTCAAATTTTAGTCACTGAGCGTGAAAGCGAATTCATAAAAATTGGTGTAGTGTACGCAGAAACTCAAATTCATAAAAATTCGGAAGAACGAGAAAAATAAAAAAATTTGACAATAGAAATTACCACAAACAAATTTAAAAATATTCAAAAATCTAAAAATTCAAACTTGTATTCGACAAAGATACTTACAGAAAAATAAAACTTGCGTGGTGATCGCACAAAACATAAACAATTATAAAGCATAATACTAAACTAAAAAATTCAGAAAAATTCGGATGCACACAAAATATGATCATTCGTTCAGACAAAAACAATTCTATCACTTGGGCACAAAAATATTATTGTTCCGAGGAAGGAAGAGCAATTACAAAATAAACCTCATAATAATTCAGTCAAATTAAAATTTAAAAGGATCCATTCAGTTAACACTATTAAGTTTTTTTGTCTCAGAGGGAGAAGTAAGAGTTAGAAAAAATTCAAGTTGTTTTCTCAGAGGAGAAAAATCAAACATGAAACTTCAAGGCAAAAATTCGACAATAAACTTAAATGGAATTAAAAGAAAGTCCCAAGTATAAAAAAATGCATATTTAGCAAAATTCAAAAGCTGTGTGCGAACTAAAAAATTGCAATCATTTTTCGCGAGGGGGTGACAAGCATACAGTTAAGTGCAGACAAAAATCAAATACAGAAAAATTCAAACATGAAAGATTGAAAAACATTGGGAAAATCACGAATAAGTAACTCGAGTGAAATAAGGAGCCAAAAATTTAAATTAATTACAATTTGAAAATATCGAAAAAATATAGAAAATTCGGAAACACATTCCATAGTGTACTTAAAAATTCAAAATTATGTTCCCAAAGAGGGAATAAAATTAGAAGTAGGAATATAAATATTAAAACAAATATTAAAAACACGAAAACTAAAATCTAGTGAGAAAATTCAAAACAAAGACAAATGCTAAAATTAAAAAAAATTCACTAATTCCATACGGTTCACAAAAATCAAATTTACAAAAAACAAATAAACTCGAATATAAAGTAGGAGGTAAATTTTAAAAAAACTTGTAATAGAACGTGAGCAAAATATATAATTCCAGGAAAAAAATAAAATAAGTAAAAAGGTTTTCGCCATACGGCGCATTTTCCATACATTGATCCCAAAAGGCCATAGCTATGTGCGCTGTTTTTCCTTACTAGACATCTATGGTTACAATTTCAAAGAAATATGTCTCTCCGTAAATAAGAACGTTGACGTTGCGCCGTTCGCGCATGCACACATTTAATTTATACTTAATATCTACATGTGATGTTTGTTTTTACCAGAAGCGGCTATGGTTAAAATGTTAAAGAGAGATCTTCATAAGTAAAACAGTTGGCATTTTGCAATCTGCGCATGCGCACATTGGATTTTTACTAAGTGCGATGTGTTTGCCTTTGGTAATTTGTAGTTTTCCAATTTTACTACGTGATTTGCGTATGAAACAAGCTTAGAAAAATAAAATAATTTTTGAAAATTAATTAACAAAAATAAAACTTACATAGCGTATACACAAAAGAGAATTAATAATTATAAAGGAACAAATTTAAAATATTAAAAATGTCAACAAAATAATTCCATCAAAGATACACTCAAATTTTAAAATTTTTTTCGAGGGTAGTTGAGGGATTAAAAAATTACAAAATTCGGCCAAATTGAATTCATGAAAAATCAGTCAATGTGAACAGCCGTTTTCCCTTAGACAGAAGCAGGAATGCGATTTTCAGCATTACATAGGAAAATGAGACCCATTTAGAAAATTGAAAAAATTAAATAACCCAATAAAATCTCGAAAATAAGGATTCAAAAAAAGTTAGTGTGAACTATAAAATCAGACAATCAGGTATACAAAAATTCAAATTTAAAAAAAATTTAAAAATGGGAAGGAAAAAATCACAAAATTGAGAGTAAAAAACTTCAGAATCGCATAAAAAATTCAAATATAGACAAAAAAAGTTCAGAGCTGTTTTCCGCGACACAGAAACAAGGATACTAAAAATTCATTCAAATGCAAAGACAAAGAGAAAATTCGAAAAAAATTTATCAATTAAGACCGCTTTTACACGGCGATACAGTAACAAATGAGAAGGAAAAAATCATAAAATTGAAAATAAACATTTTAGAATTACAAAAAATTCAAACGTAGACAAAAAAAGCATGTATGTAATTCTATCAGGTGTACATAAAATTTAAAAGCAGTTTTCCGCGAAGAGGAAATAGGGATACAATAATCAAAATTCAGTCAATTGCAAAGAAAAAAGGTACGATCCGAAAAAAATCAATTAAATTAAGTGCGCTACTTGGTAAATCGAGAATAGGTGGTGGGGATTAGATAATAATCAGGTCCAAATTCAGAACAATTCAATTATTTATAAAAAAATGTTAAAAGTTTGTCCGAGGGGGAGGAAGCAATTATAACATACGTACATAATTAAATTCATGGAAACTCTACCTTAATTTGACTTTAAAAAAACCATTATGTCAACACAAATATTAACAATTGAGTAGGAAACAACAATAAAATCAGGTTGTACCCAAAAATTTCAATTTACAAACGTTCGAAAAGATCGAGTAGACAGCTTAAAGATTTCTAATAATCCAGAAAAATTTGATTAAAAAATTGGGATTCAAAGTAATTGGTGCCTTCATTCATAAGCTGTGCGGTACAACTAAAACTGGTTTAAGTATGAACCAAAATTCCGCAATCAAAAATAAGGAAAAATTTTGGTTAGTTGACCGAGTGTGCATACAAATCAGGTGATATCTAAGAGGAGGAGGGATTAAATTAAATGTACCCAAAAATCAAGTTCAGTGAAATACAAAATAATCCAAAAATTGTTTTCCCAGACTGAGGGAACAGCTTAGGAGCACACAAAATTCAAATGCAGCAAAAATTACGACTTACAAAAATTCAAATGAAATAAGTCTTAGATAACAGACCGAAACGCTCTAGTATCAGAGCGCAAGCTTCCACGGTCAGTCAGTAAGGTACGATGAGACCCCTTACGAAAGTGGGCGAAAGGTTGACGAGAACCCAGGTTTCATTCTCGGTCTGCCAGAGCATTTGTGGCATTTTTCTCATCCGTGGGGCCCACAATCGGCTTGCAAAATCGAGTACCTTGATTAATATAGGGGGTTACCATTGTGCCAGACACATTTGTTCAGTGTTCTAGATACGGTCAGAACCTAGCACACAGAGACAATGCAAATATTGGGACTATTATCCTTACAAAGCACATTGTGGTAAATGGGCAGGTTTTGTGTTGCCTATTCTTGAGCACCTACCGTTTCACCAAGCATACAAGCCAATTACGAACAGAAGCATTGCATCATCATGAACAAGGCAATTTTAATGTGACAAGAAATTAACATTTATCGACAATGGTATAACACCACAAAGTGACTTCGGAAAGGTAATGCCTCAGCACTAGTAACAAACGAAATTACTGTTTGTAACCTCAAGAGAGCAAGTCGAGTAGGTATCCTATCATGGAAGTTATAATGAGAACTACACGTAATAATTAATCTAACTTTCACACACAAAAGTATTGTCACGAAACACCTTACAGAAGAATAAATTGGCATGGAGAAAAATGCACGAAAGCAAAAATCGATAACCACGTGCAGTACCATAACCTCACATTTCCGCTGCACGTTTTCTGTAATTGCCCGTAATTAATGGGTACATTGCTAATTTTGGAATTAGTTAATAATTGTGTAAACATGACTTAGCAGAAAATGCATGAGAAAAAAGTAAACTCACCTAATTACATGGGTTGGGTGGCTCTGCGATTTTCATTATAAATGACGTGCACAGCCAACGACTTCAGTGTACGAAATGCGATGAGTGTAGAAAAACGGTAGAAACGACGCAGACAGATCGACACCAATCGCAAGTGAAAAACCTGAAGGTAACCAATCACATTACAGTTTCATGTCCTCAATTAAAATTTCTCAAAAAATTATCAAATGGGGTACATTTTCAAAAGGCTTATCTGGCTTTCTCTACATTATCAATTAAGCTTTTTAAGTTATATATTGGTCGGTTAAATATACACACAAGTTCGCGTTTTAGCAATTATAATTAAGCTAAGTATTTCAATTGATATACACTCCTCCATAAAGTTAAAACACCGCTGCTAAATCTGCTTATTTGAAAAATCCTCCTTGCTAAAACAACACGTCTGTGCGCGACGTCCGCCCAGCATTGAAAATGTAAGTACAAATCAAATTAATTTCATTTAAGTTATTTCTATTGGCTCATTTATTTTTTAAACGATAACACTCGCGATATAATCAATGAAAAAAAAATCTGATGCAATACCTACCTACAAATTTATAATCGTTCGCTTGGGTACTACGAGGGTTTCCTACCAGATTTTAATCCTCGAACCTGACGTTTGCTTGTCAATTACTTTTTCTACATTTTTTATTTAAAAGGAATAGCACAATTTTGTTAATTCATCCCTTTTACTGGCCGCCATCTATCGCTACTGTGCCCAACTTACCCCCTACCCTTAGCGTAGAAGTGCAAATAATCCGCTTAAATTTCCTTGAAACACGTCGGTGTCGAATTTCATTTGCCGATTGTAATTTAATAGTTGATTAATGGAGAATTACAGTTAATCACCTTTCTAAAATGTGCATGCATGTACTTTCGCAGAAAATTTGATACTGCGAAACTGTGTTGGCGGTGTGAAGATGATGACATCGGCGTGTTTCAGCACATCATGCGAGAAAAAATAAATACGGCTCTATCGTAAGTCTCTTTGTTCCAGAATCGATTTTAAATACATAGTTCTAGAATTAATTAAAATAGTTAATCAGTGGATATAGTTATGTAATGATTTAAAACAAAAGAATCGCTTATGTAAATATAAATGGCACACTTTGTATGCACACTTCAAAAATTCAAAAATACTTTTTATCAATGTCGTTTCTGATAGAGGTATCTTGTTTGTGCTCTTTTTTATGGGTGGTGATATCAAGATAATTGATGTAAAGATTGCACATGTTAAAGTGGCTCAAATTTACAAGGCGCAATTTAATTTTGGAAAGTTTTATAGGAAGAGAAAAATTCCAAAAATTTCAAATTTCATCGACGTGTGGTTTCCAGATCTGTGTTCCAGTCTGCGTCCTTGTTGGAAACTTCTTCAATTAGTCCCACGTAAACCACGATTGCCTGAGGTACTACACTTGCGTCAGCCCAAATTAAACAACCAATGCGCGTCATATTCTTCTTATGTATTTTTCGTGATAAAAACAGCTGTTAATTTCGTCAGTCCGTCTCACGGTTTCAGATCTCAACTCCATTTTGTTTGCTATATTGGATTAAATTTGCATTGATATCCATATCGATCAATAAATAAAAACAGTTATCAATTTTTTCCTTATAGCGTGCATTTTCATAGGGAGACCGTTTTCCACTTGCCAAGGAAAAACTAGTGTGGGCGCAAGCCATTCCAATACCGTTAGTCGGTAGTCCATTTTTGAAATCTTTCAGAACTGTTTAGAAAATCCGTAGGAAATTTTGGAAATACATATATACCTATATGGTTGGGTTGGGTTGGTAGAGCAGCCTTAGGTGAAACCCCACCCACTCCAAAAGTAAAGGCAAAAATAAATAAATATATATAAAAAAATATGTGCAAAAAATGTTTCAATACTTACTTTAAAAATGGAAATGTGTAAGAAATCTGGAAATGTCTCTGAAATGTGTAATGATTATGAAATATAAATTAATATATAAAAATATTTCAAATGTGTAGAAAACTGGAAATGTTTAAGAAATTGCAGAAATTTTGCCACATTTTTTCTGAAATTTTGGAAATACATATTTGTGTAAGAAATTTTGTAAGATATAGAAATGTTGGACAAGTCTCTAATAATATTGAAGGAATTTTGAAAATGCTTCAGAAATGCTTCAGGAATAATGGAAGTATATTTTGGAAATACATTGGAACATGTGTACAAATTTTGAAAACATTTCCCAAGTTATATTGAAAATTGGTAAAAAATTATGCACAGATTTCAGAGATGTTGGAAAAGTGCAGGAAAATTTTAAGTGTCTCTGGAATATTGAAAGAATTTTGAAAATGGTCCAGAAACTGTTTCAGAAATGCTTCGGAAATATTGGAATCGTTTCATTAACATTGGAAACAACTCCTTTTGCTGAGACCTTTAATTAGAGTACCATGGAAGATAAAATTAACCCCCCCCCCCCCCATTTCACCAACTCATTTTATAGTTTGTAGAAACCAATTCATTTGGATGAGACCTTGCATTATATAATACCATGAAGGGTAGAACCAAAGAGTTACTCTTTGGTAGAACGCTTATGTTATGTCTAAGAATATTATGTGCACCAAATCTGGTTGCAATTGATTCAAAACGTGTATTTCCGTCAATAAAGAGGGGGGGGGGCGCATTGTTTACCCCAATTCAATACTACTTTCTAACGCGAGTGGTTTAAATTTTAAATTTTTTAATCGATATCGATGGATATTTAATCAATATAGCAGACCAAGTGCGATATCCGAAATAGTGTTTAATCGCCTATGTCCACCGTATCAGCGTGTTAACATTTTTATGGAGGTTCGCTTTGGTAAGGGGGCACCGTAGTCCTGGGTATGTGAATTTAAGCTAAAGGGTAAACTAAAGTCGGTTTTTCGTGCCTAGGCTAGAGTATTCCAAGCTGTGGGGTGGGGTATGTTAATATAGGATAATTCATCAATTCCAAATGTCATTTTCGGATTTTTTTTAATCGTCCTTTTTCAGAACATTTTTTTCTTGAATTGAATTTTAATTTGTTGGAGACTAAGAAGTCAAGCCAAAAATTAAACTAACGGAGTATACAGGGGACTCCAGATTGAGGGGCCACCATGGTGATCCTGGAAACCGTAAGGGACACGAAGTCAGTTGAAACAGTGAACACTAAAGAGTAACTGTGGCTTTAATATTTCACAAATATGTCAAGATAGCTTGACAAGAATGGTTTTCTTTCCTAATCACCATATTTTTTGTGTAAATTCTGTTATAGGTATTGTAATTTTTAGGGCCGTAAAGTTTATTAACTAAGCAAGTGCTGTTTCAGAACGACAAGCTTTGGCAAAATATAAAATTTTAAATTCAGGTTCGTGTTTTAAAAGTAGAGTTGATGATGACAAAAAAAAAGAAACGTCGCACTTCAAATTTGATCATGCCAAGCAATAAAAAAGTGCCATTTCGTCTAGTGAGTTATGCTATCCTGCTTATTCAAAAACAAAATAATAATTAGCATTGACTGGTGGGAAAAGAAACAAACCACATATTCCTTTGATCTGGAAGTGGAAAAGCCTCCAAGTACCTCAAGCCTCAGGAACTTGATTCACTGTGACTTACCAATTTTTACCTGTTACAGATAAAGTCTATTATTATCAAGATCATTTGGACACCAACTACATTACAGAATTTCAAATTCATACCACTTTCAAAATGCTTACTTCAATGAACAAACACGAGGTAATATAAACAATTATATATTTGCTTATGCAATTGAATGAAATGCCTTAACATATTACTGTCGTACTCTTTATCGCACTTCTAGTCTAGTATAAAAACAGTCTGCAAAACTAATGTCTTTTTTTCGCATGGGCTAGATAGAGATGAAAATAACCAAATAGGTACATATACGAGCATAATTCGTATACACCGTACAGGCAACCAGTTTTGCAGTGCGCTACCTGCGATGACTGACGTGACTGTTTTTATACTAGAAGAGGAATAATTAATTTTTACTAACTCTAGTACACTTGATGAAAACAGCTTAGACAAATTGCCGTAGGTATACTCCTATTTGCTATAAACCAGAAACAATTATAACTAGTGAACTGTGAAAGCAGATAGCGCTGCAGTCACAAACTAATTATTTTACAGCAGCATTGAATTATTCAAAGGCTGCAGTACGAGATCATAAATTTGCAAAATTAGATAAATGAAACTGCATTTTTTGTAAGGTCATTGTACTAAAACTTGTTTCCCTCAAAAAAGTTCATGGTTCACTTCACTTGATTATTTTTTAATACATTTTTTGCATCCGATTTTAGAGCAAAGGTCTGCAGACTACCATCTCATAATACTAGCTTTTTAGTAAAGCTTCATAATAATGAGAAACGTTATATTTGCATGAGCGCTTGAGAAATAGTATTAAAAAACGTCTGTGAATTGCACAAGAAACATTCTTTTGTACTTATTTAGCAATAAGTTGACAAACAAATAATGCCCACATCGCACAATAGATGCTTATCACCGATAACTAATCACACGCGCGCATCGATAACATATCCGGCACTGGCAACCTATAAATTTTACTGATTAACGTTATTATTTTTGACTATGGCTACCAAATTGCACATAATTAATATTGACAAATATATATAGTAGGTATTGCTTCATCTGCTACTGTTTCCTAACCATTCAGTACTGATGTACTAATATAAAATATTTAGCACTGGGTTCAATATACCTAGTTTTTAGCGCATTTTCCAACGAAGTTGGGTGCGCTATCGCAGCGACTTTTTCTGTCCGTCCGTCTGTCCGAGGCCTTAACTACTCCTACAGTTTTCAAGATATTTAGTTCGTTCTTTTTGCATTCAGTCGCGTATCGCTCTGGCACCTGAGTCAAGGAAAATCTTGACGATTGAACTGCGCATCGCAATGTTAACTTTTTTATTTATTAATATATTTTGTTGAAATTTTAATCACAGATACTTGTAGTAAAGGCAAATATATCGCATAGTAAAAATCAGATGTGCGCATGCGCAGACTGCGCAATGCCAACTTTCTTATTTATCGAGATATTTTCTTGAAATTTTAACCAAAGATGCTTATAGTAAAAGCAAACGTATTGCGTATTGTAAATATCAGATTAATAAGCTC